GGGAAGGAATATGGGAAGTCATTGCCTACTGTTCCAAAAAGAAGCTGTTTACAAAAGGCAATATAGCAACTTCCAACGAAAAAGGACAAAATACAAAATTATAAACTATCACCTGAAACTAATTATATTTGCTTGTCGAAAAGTGTATAAAATATAAATATATTTTTAATATAATACGTATATATAAAAATATATTTGTATTTGTTATTATTTTTTAGAGCGGCTAAAACTTATACATTTCGCAACGAAAAAAGAAGAATTAATCTAAATAGTCGTCAATCCAACTGTTTGAATTAAAAATAGCCGGAAGATGTAATATAAGTATAATTCAAGTACAATATATATATAACTATGTATAATCTATGTATGCCGGCTATGAAATGTAAACAATAAATATATCGGGTTATTTTTGTAAAGATTCCACGAAACAAGGACCGTTATGAAGCTCTTTTTGGAAAATGTTACCAGTCCCGACTCTCCCATTCTAGTAGCCCTGTAGGCTAAGCCCATAGCCTATCGAGTCGGTTTAGCCCATCAATCCTGTTTCTTGATTACAAACTCATCAAATCAATCACCTATGTCAATTCAAGCATGTAATCTGTGTGCGATAACGCAAGCAACTCGTCTCGTCTCGTCTTCCCCCATTTATTATCAGTAATGAAGTAAAAAATAAATCTGAGTGTTTCTATCGGCAACCCTTACCGACTTAAAGAAAGAAACTCCTGTTTTTCTTCCAAGTCTTTTTTTTTTGGGTGTGTCTAATAAGTGGTTTCAGAAGAAAATGGGAAATTGGAACAGAAGATGGATACCAAGAAAAAAGTACAAGTACGAAGATTTTCCCCCTTCTCCTCCATCCCGTTACAACCAATCTCATTCTCCTGGTACTTTTCTCTCTTTTAATTTTTCCTTTTTTTTAATATACTCATCTTTTGTTTTGGTTACTGTGTCATGCTATTTTTCTGATTAGGCATTTTTTGTGTAATTATTAATGATTGTGATCCTTTTATTGATCCATTTTGGTGGAAATTTCTGCTTTTGTTTTGTTTATTTTTTTCTATTTTTGGTGTTTTGATTATAAATTTGAATTTTAGTGAGATGGTCCCTTGTATATTTTGAGAGGATCCATAAAAGTACCCTCTTTACTGTTTATATGATGATAAATGTCGTGTTTCTTTGATATATTCTTTGCTTACTTATTTGGGTTTTTCTTAATCCCTGATTGTTTTGTATGAAATTTTGAGCGAGTTTAAGACTTTAAGTTTAAAATTACGAAAATAATGACCCCTGATATTTGTAGGCAGAGTCCACTTTGACCTGCTACAATTGGTTTATAGCATGGGAATTTCACTTCAGATAGTAATGTTATAAATGTAGTAAGCTTTTTGTCCCTTTTTGAAAGAAATTTTGATAAAATTGTACATTAATCTGTATCCTATAGGATTAAACTTGTCTTTCTCGAGTCTCTCCAGTTGCAACTAAGAATTTAGAATGACTCGCCCTGCTTAATTGGGACCCCATCCCATGTCAAATGATTAAACTGTTCTATCAGCCTTTTTCTTTGTGAATGAGCTTAGCCTTTCCAGAACGCTCGCTTGTCATCTTATCTTTTGAGATAGTTATTGCTGCAAGGTCTGTCATGCGCCCTTTCCGAACTGTGATTATGCTGGGAAGGTAAATATCTGAATCAGAAGCATTTGAGGTGCACTTCTAGGTGAGCGATATAATATGAAGGAGAATTTCCCAAAGGGACCTAGCTGAATCTGTAAATAGGGAGCCAATGTGTACCTTCTCTGTAAGTAAATTGTTTCATGTTTAGATTTGTCACTGATTTGAGTTGGAACATAACAAGCATTGAACAGCTGTCCCATAATTTAATGTCTTGTACGAGTAGTATTCTTTCCCCAGAGCTTTAGTTCGGGGGAATAGGTAGTACGGCTAGAGATCATGGTAGGCTCAAGTCATGAGTTCGAATCCTATTGGTGAACCAAGTCTGGTGTTTTAAGTGGAGATGGTAGAAGGTCGGTCCCATTATCTACTGATTTTTGAAGCAGGAAATAGCGAATTTCTCCGTTACAAAAAAACAATTTTAATCTGTTGTACTAGGAAACTTCCTTTATCGGAAGAATCTCAGAGTGTTGAAGCCAGCTGCCATGTTGGCTTAGCCCCACTCTCTCCCTAAAATTTTTTGTACCTAGATGTATAAAAGATCGTGGTGGACACGATTGGAATTCACTATTGTGGATGTTTTGTCATTTTAATCAGAGATGTCTCTTCATATATTTCCCTCAGTTTCTTTATTTTTTAAAAATACTAGTTAGTTTTTCTTTGCATAAAAAATTGTCATCTTATGTCCTGTCATCTGCACACCTGCTTGAAGGCTATCAAGTCTTGTATTACCTACAAAATCTGATAACTTCTTCATTTTCACTTTTTAAAGCTATCCAGGAAAATAGTGCTCCATCATGGGAAATAGATTTCTGCAGAGCAGCCGGGATACCTTGGCGCAAGGTTGTGAGTGCAAAAAAATACATTTACTGTTATGATAATGTGGTCAAGTGGGATGACTCTGCAGGTCAAGAAGCATTCAATGATGCAAAAAGGAGATATTGGGCTGTGATAAGTGGTCTTCCTCCTCAGAGTCCTCCTCCCGATCCAGATATGTACATTGATAAAGTTGATTGGGACTCAACTATTGATCCGGAGCTAATACTAGATTTGGATAGAGAATATTTTAATCCTAATGAGGTTGATAACACTGTCAAGTCTGAGAACAACTTAGTTTCTGGATGCACCCTGGTATGGGAGGATAAAGCTGCTGATGATGGTGAAAATCCTTGGGAAAGTGGTAATGTGCAGGGCTCTAAAACTTTTGAGAATGTGGAGCAGACTTGGAATGAATGGGATAACCCTTCAAATATCAAAGATGATGATCCGTGGGAAAGGAGTTGCCCCAAGGCCCAGGAGACGTTGAAGAACTCTACTGCCTGGGGAGGCCGAGGAAATGAGGAGCAGACTTGGAATGAACGGGATAACCCTGTAGACATCAAAGATGATGATCCGTGGGAAAGGAGTTTCCCTAAAAACCAGGGGACCTTAAAGGACACTGCTTGGGGAGGCTGTGGAAATGAGTCGTGGGGTTGGACCACGGGGCTGAATTATGAGAATGGATCTGCTTATGTTGATAACACTTTCAGCAATTTGTGGCATCAAGGTGGTGAAAGTTTTGCTGGTGCTAAAGGAAACGAATGGGTTGATAATAGAACTGGTTCCTGGGGCCGAAACCATTGGAATACTAGGGGGCATGAGCAGTGGAATTCAGACTATGGCTCTCGTTGGAATAGGAACCTTACTCGAGGTGGTGGAACAACCTCAAAAGACAGAAGATGGGGAGAACCTGAGTTCACATCTTGGGATTGGCAGCGATTACCAAGGCAGAGTAATGAGAGAAATATGGATTTTGGAAGACCTAGCAGAGGTGATAAAACCTTTTATACTGGTTCTCGTAAGAGGGAAGGTCCTTCACAACATATGTCGAGGTACAAAAGCTCCAGGTTTCAAGGTGATGAACAGAGGACCACGTACAATTGGAGAGAAGAAAAAACACACAAGAGGGTTACTTTTAGTTTTAATGAATAGTGACCAACTTCTGGATCTTTTATATCTTATTTAACATCTTTGGATGTTACCACTTACCATGATTCTACAGAGGGTTGGAAGAGAAAGACAGCAGGTTTGGAAGGCAGCTCTCTCGTGCCTATGGAGTTAGATGAATAGGAGATTTTTTTTATGGCATCGGGTGTGACGTGTAACATAAAAAAGCTCTTTTTTCCGTTCTTTTATATATTTTGCTTAAAAAGAAAATACCTGCTGGATAGATAGTTGGGTAGGTTTTTGATAGATGAATGATATGAAGGGCGGCTCCATCCTTAGGCTAGTAAAGCTTTTGCTTTAGGCCCCAATGATTCATCACCGTAAAATATGTGATTCAAGTAACTGTAGTAGTTCTTATTAATGAAGTAAATGAAATAGAATCGAAGGAAAGTGAATGTGGTAGAGATAAAATATGTGATTCAAGTAACTGTATTAGTTGAATTCCAAGTTTTAATGCAAAATTTCACTACTTCATTGAATGTTTTTGGTCTTAGCAGATTATCTGGAAACATCTCTAGATTCTCACCTGTGGTCATAACTCATAACTGCCTTTGGACCGCCTAGAGATCCAATGCAGCCATATCGAACATCACTCACGTGTCATATGTACACAAGTCTCGTCAATGTACGAAACAGTAACGCCAACATGAAGCAAATAGATGTCATACATTGTTCCCAATAGCTTGTCAGTAGGGGGTGTTTCATTGATGTTCACTCAAGTTCGACTTGGATTATGTAACTTCTTTGTTAACAAAATTATCTTGATAAATCGCTCAACTAAATAAAATGGCCATGTATGACCACTCATAGGATCAAGAAATATCAATCTATCAATATAATGTATATTACAAAACTAAAATATTTTTCTACTATGTCTTTTAAAATTTTAACTTGTTAAATATTTAAAAAAATTATTTGAATTCCACACGTTGATGCAGTGTTTTTCAGACAAACTCTACTTCCTCTATCATTTTCGTTATTGTTTATATACTAGATATAAATAAAAGATATTGTGAAAAGTCAATGTCCAAAATCAAATCAAAGGGATAAGTAATTTGGTAGTACTCGCTATTTTTAATTTCACTTTTATTCTTTTACATTTGGTTACAGACATAAGCTTTTAACAATTTTAGTGTTACAAAAAAAAAGTTTGCAACTCTAGCACATCAACATGTCTGTGGTAGTTCATTCAAGTTTCGCCGCTTTCAGTTTCTGAAGAAGAAGAAGAAGAAAAAACACTGAACAGAACCTCAAAAATGCCACCCAAATCTGCAGTACTACACAAACCATATTTTTTCTACGGCCACCGTAAACCGACTCAGCATCGGCCTACAGTACAAGGCGGCCTTTTCTCCAATCGCCAAACGATAAACCCCAATCACCCCACCCCCAAAAACTCACCTTCTTCTTCTGCTAATTTTGAGCTTCAAAAATGGGACCCAGATGGAAATTTGGGCCTAAAATCCGAAAAAGACTCATCTCATGAATTTTTCTCTTTGGCTCAACGCTTATCACCAATTGGTAGGTATATAGTTGATTCATTCAGGAAACATAAGAGTTGGGGCCCACCCCTTGTGGCTGACCTTAACCGTCTACGGCGCGTCACTCCTAAGCTTGTAGCTGAAGTTCTCAAGCACCCTAATATTGATCCTAGAATTTCCTCCAAGTTCTTCCACTGGGCTGGTATTAAAAATTCACTCTTTTTTGCCTTTTTGAATTTTGTTACTTTTAATCAATGAGGCTTCTTATTGTTTGTGGTTTTTTTTCTTGTCTGCAAATTTAATGTGCTATGTTGTCACTTTGAAATGGGAAAAGTTTCAACTTTTAATGCTGAGCACTTTGTTGTGTATTTTAATTACATTTTAAAATATATTGAATCTGTATAAAGAAGGGCAGCTTGGTGCACTAACCGCGGGGTTGGAGGAAGGCCGGACCGCGTTGGGTCTGGTCTACCTAGCCTTACCTTGCATTTCTACGAGAGGTTGTTTCTGCCACATGACGGCAACTTTTACTATTGCGCCAAGGCTTCCCTTCATATTTAATCTGTATGCTACTACTGTTTAAGTGCTTGCTCTTTTTTTGCGAAGAACGTGACATTTGAGCAGCAATTTTATTTTTATGACATTAAAGTTGCATACTTGTAGTAATATTTTTCTACAAGTTGTTGAATATATATGAATTATTTTTCATTTTTTAGTCTAAAAATGGGTCAAGCTGACTCCAAAAAAATGAAAAGGGAATTTTTTTATGGGATATAGAGAGTATGCAGAGCCGAGGGTGTACCGGAAACAACCTATCTACCTGCACAAGGTAGGGGTAAGGTTGCGTACACACTACCCTTCCCAGACCCTACTTATGGGATTACACTAGGTTTGTTGTTATTGTAGAGAGAGTATGTAGATACAATCCTGTAATTTTGAGGCAGTCAACGGCCGCGATTGTCATGGTTTTGATGTTTTGACTGATTGCTATGGCTTAAATCGTTCTACATACAAAAAGAGGAAACCCAAAATTATGCATTTTGTTCTTATTCTCTATGGATGAGAAAAAATGAGTATAAGTAATAGACAAACGAATAATAATCAGCATTTTTCTTGTATGTCTATCTGCTTATTCTTATAGTGTATCTTAACAGGAAAGCAGAAAGGTTATAGGCATGATTTCTCTTGTTACAATGCCTTTGCTTATGGTCTGAATTGGGTGAATCATTTTCGGGCAGCTGATCAGGTTCCTGAGCTGATGCATATGCAAGGAAAGCCGCCTAGTGAGAAACAATTTGAAATCTTGATCAGAATGCACAGTGATGCTAACAGGGGTCTTAGAGTGTACTATGTCTATGAGAAAATGAAGAAATTTGGGGTAAAACCAAGAGTTTTTCTGTATAATAGAATAATGGATGCTTTGGTTAAAACCAATCATTTGGACCTGGCTATGTCAGTTTATGATGATTTCAAGAAGGATGGGTTGGTGGAGGATAGTATGACTTTCATGATCTTGATAAAGGGACTATGCAGGTTAGGGCGGATGGATGAAGTGTTTGAGCTTTTGGGTCGGATGAGAGAGAATCTTTGCAAACCTGATGTGTTTGCTTATACAGCAATGGTAAAGATATTGGTTGCAGAGCGGAACTTGGATGGTTGTTCAAAGGTTTGGGAAGAGATGCAGCGGGATGCAGTTGAACCCGATGTTATTGCTTATTCAACTTTTATTAATGGTTTATGTAAAATTAATCAGGTTGAAAAAGGCTATGCGTTGTTTAATGAAATGAAACAAAAGAATTATTTAATAGATAGGGCGATTTATGGATCTTTGATTGAATCGTTTGTAGCAAATGGAAAAGTTGGTTTAGCTTGTGATTTGCTTAAAGATCTGATGGACTCGGGCTACAGAGCTGATTTGGCAATCTATAATTCTCTTATTGAAGGTTTCTGCAATGCAAAACTGATCGATAGGGCCTATAAACTTTTCCAAATCACAGTTCAAGAAGATCTTCAACCTGACTTTACCACTGTAAGGCCCATATTGGTGTCTTATGCAGAGTCAAAGAGAATGGATGAGATTTGCAAATTGCTTGAGGAACTGCGGCGATTGAGCTATTGCATTCGTGATGATTTATCCAAATTCTTTACATTTATGGTAGAGAAGGATGATAGGATTATGATTGCTTTGGAAGTCTTTGAACATTTGAAAGAAAAAGATTATTGTGGTGTTCCAATATATAACATTCTTATGGAAGCTCTCTATAAGAATGGTGAGGTGAACAAGTCACTCACATTGTTCTCTGAATTGCGCGATTCATATTATGAACCTGATTCATCGACTTACAGCAATGCTGTCCAATGTTTTGTAGAGGTCGGAGATGTACAGGAGGCATGTAATTGCTATAACAGAATTAAAGAGATGTCTTTGATTCCGTCGGTTGCTGCGTATCGTTCTCTTGTCAAAGGGCTTTGCAAAATAGGGCAGATAGATCCAGCAATGATGCTAATTCGTGACTGCCTAGGCAATGTGGCGAGTGGCCCTATTGAGTTTAAGTATATTCTCACTATTATTCATGTCTGTAAAACGAATGATGCTGAGAAGGTAATGAAAGTCTTAGATGAAATGCTAGAAGAGGGCTATTCTCCTGATAATGTTGTATATTGCGCTGTAATTTCTGGCATGTGCAAACATGGAACAATTGAAGAAGCACGGAATTTTTTTGCAAATATGAGAAAGCGAAAACATCTTACTGAAGCCGACTTAGTTGTTTATGATGAGGTGCTTATTGACCACATGAAGAAGAAGACTGCAGACTTGGTGTTGTCTGGATTGAAATTTTTTGGTCTGGAATCAAAGTTAAAAGCAAAGGGGTCTACCCTTTTAGCAGGTTGAAAATGAAAATAGGTAATAAATCATAAACTCGTTATTTGTTTGCATCTTTTAACTTGTATGTGATATGAACTGCCAGGAATTGTCGCCCTCTTTTATGTGGCGTCTGAAGTTTTCCAGAACTTGAGTATGCAAACTTGATCTTTGAATTTTTTTTTTTGCCGGGGGGGTGGG